TAGGTCCGATTTTGAGGTTGGTCGTTACATGCCGTGCTAAAGCATGAAACATTGCAAAGTGCTGGGGAATATCATGATAAAACATATTTTGGGGTGCGTGCCCGATTTTTTGGGCCTGTTTTCCCCCAAATCCAAGAGAGCCGCCAAAAATCAAAGAGTGCTGAAGTCCTCCCATAATGGTCGCCGACTATAAACAATCTTCATTTGTTTCAAGATGTGAGATATATTCACCGTTCAAGGGACTATTTCCAATACTTTCAAGATTATTTCTCGATGGGCGTGAAGAAAGTTTTAGGGCAGCAACTGACACTCTCAATAATTTCTACAAAATGTCTGGTTTAAGAATAAATATAGATAAAACGAAAGCAGTGTGGATAGGCTCAATGGCAGGTAATAGCATTATTTTATGCCAGGATCTTAAGCTTGATTGGCTTAATTGGGATTTTGATATTCTAGGAATAAGACTTAATCCTAATTTAAATAACCTTTGGGTAATTAATACAAGAAAAGACTCGAAATTATTAATAGAACTCTAGGGGAATTGGAGGAAAAGAAAGTTGACATTAATATGAAAAAATAACTGTTATTAAAACTTTAGCACTTTCATCATTGGTGCATATATTCACTTCACTCCCAAATCATCCAAAGGAATTCATTGACAAATTAAACAATATATTTTATAAATTCATCTGGAATGATAAGCGGGATAAGATAAAGCGAACGACACTTGGTATGTTGGTAGGAGGTCGGTGGTTAGATGAAGGTGGATGGATTAAAGATGTTTTTATGCTGAATAGATTGTGGGACGAATATGATGATATATAATTACCGAATTCGTTCGATTGGGTTGGTTGGTGTAGGGGACTAGGGGTAGGTTGGTAGGGTAGAGGTGTAGGTGGTGTCGGTGGGTAGTTAGTAGGAAGGAGGGTCTTTAGGTAGGGAAGAAAGATGGGTTATAAATATTTAAGGCTTTAAATACGTTAGATAAGATATAACGAGATGAGATGTCACGCTTATATTTGTGTGAATAGTTTAATCACCGTGCGTTATGTCAAACGGCACCAACACCATAACTAGGCGAATCGATCCTCCCTTCCCTCTATCAGCGTATCCTGGGACAAGTAAGGGAAGGCGTCACTTGATCCTCCGCCGCCCGATCTCACGAACAAGGTGAGATGTGAGGCATTCGCCCTGCACATGTGGAGATGGCGGTTGAGTACCAGTCGCAGTTAGAAAGACGGTTTGTCTCCCGACCTCTTCCAGCAAACATCGAAGCTTCATGTATGACTGGCTATAAAGTAAAATTAATGTATTCAGTTATGCTCACGTATCTGCAAGTGTTTCGTTTACCAAGTGCATCAGGTTTTGTACCCAACATACTTCGACTTGTACGTGCAATCTCCCGAACTATGTCGACACCACTATTTAGATGGTTGAGTTTGTGTGATCTCGTCAGCGTTGAAATACATGTATTTATGTCAAAGAAAGACCTCATAAGCGCATCTTCGTGTTTTCCACGATAAGATGTTTTCAGTTTTCACATTACAGACTAATTACGCCGTAATGTAAATGGATTGTCATTTATTTCGAGAAAATTGTAGTAATAAAATATAATGTCGAGGTGATGTATTAAAGTATACCAGGCCCATCAATATTTTATGTCTCTTCTAACACTAAACGTTCTGTTTCCTACATTCAAACAAATATAGAGACAATTAAAGGATTAATAACTAAATACCAAAACAGTTTTAAGAGCACATATAATACAAATCAAACCCGACGTAAAGACGTTTTGTATATGTTATGTATATGTCAGGGTAGTATACCTAATCTCCGGACGTTGAGGTCCATCTGAAGCGCTAGTACAATATTCTCTATCAGGGCGTATCTGCATAGTGATGACTAAACAGGAGTCACTGGCTTAACGCATATTTGTCTCTAAAGTGGAGACTAAAATTATTGTTCTCACTTCATTGCGTGATACGCAGTTCAAGCGTTTGACCCAGCTGTGTGAACCTTCCTAGACCCAAATCCATCTCTTTGCCTCTCAATTAATCGTAACGATATCAAGGTTACGTGGAAAAGAAATCGTTTTAGTGCAGTGGCTTAGGTCCGATTTTGAGGTTGATCGTTACATGCCGGACTAAAGCATGAAACTTTGCAAAGTGCTGGGCAATATCATGATAAAACATATTTTGGGGGGTGTGCCCGATTGTTTTGGGCCTATTTTCCCCCAAGTCCAAGAGGGCCGCCAAAAATCAAAGAGTGCTGAAGTCCTCCCAGAATGGTCGCCGACTATAAACAATCTTCATTTGTTTCAAGATGTGAGATATATTCTCCGTTCAAGGGACTATTTCTAATACTTTCAAGAAATCTAACAAACGAGATTTATGTTTAGTAGTAAAAGATATGATTCATCATCCAATTAATGAAAAAGTTACTGTTTTGATCAGTCACGTGACATCATTTTGTCAAACATCGATCTGTGATTCAGAAGTCTCCCTTAACAGTTCCCATTGCAGTTACAGAGCGATGTGCATAGAAGTTGAGAAGATATACAAATGCACTTCTTTGAGCATAGAGGTTGACACTTGCAGCCACATTTGATAATTTTGTTGATAATGGTACCAGCGGAAAACCTATTTCAATAGACACTATTTCAAGCTCTTCCAAACCTACACTTCAAGGCAGTTACTGTATAGTTCCTGCAGTAGCCTGCAATGTGGAGAGAGTTAATGTGCCTGGAACTCACACATCATCAAGTCGAGGACAACAAGTCGAGCTAAAGAAGAATCTTGGATCAAACACTGCATTGGCCTTCTTGCTATAGAACATTTGGAAAATGATGAGTTTATTGCCTGGTTCATTTCATGCTTCTTTCCTTCCTCTATTTAAGGACAAAGCTGCAAGTCTTGCCACGGTTAGGCATGATATGTCTATCACCCAGACAGTCACAGAACATTGCAATCCAGGACAACTCCCAGTCATGGCTGTAGATCAACCACTTCTTGCGCTAGCAAAATATGTTCAAAGGAGATTGCCCAATGTGTTTGGAGAAGACGTGTACACTATCATGCTTCACATTGGAATAGCCTTATGGAAAATGCCCTCACTGGAACCGCATGTTCAACAATCATTTGAAGACTAGCTGGGAAAATTGGATGTCAGAAAAGAGTCTAACATTCAAATACTGGGATTTTATTCTTCATCTCGAGACAATGATTCTAATCTTTGTGAGGTCCCATCGCGTAAGATACATGTCTCTGTACATCCAGGTAATGGAACACCTTGTCCCTTGGTTCTTTGCTCACACCAATATGCACGCTGGCTGTCAGTTCACATCAGAGATATGAAAGCCCTTTCTGTTGACAGAAGAGAGTCCCTTCGGAGAGGTTGGATTTTCCCAAAAACATCAAACATTTTCTGCCATGCTTTTTGATCAAGCTCATGAACAAAACAGCAAAGTTTAAAACACTCAGGAGGTGCAGTTGGATTAACAGAAAATGTTGCCTTGACTAGATGGATGATATCTGGACCAGAACAAGCAAGAATTCTGCAAGAGTTTGAAAAACAAGATGACAAGGTGGATACAAGAAGCAATGAACAAGATTTTGCTACACAGCGGACATTTAAGACTCAAGTCATCAATTCATGTGGCACAGTTGCTTCGATAGGCAATTCCTTCCTGAAAGAGTCTCATGAACTGATGACCCTTGATGAGCAAGATAAAAGTGAGTTGGGTTTTAAAGCCGCTTTCTAGTAATATCACGGCTTTTCAGTATAATGTGGGGGGTAAGCACTAAGTGATGCACGAATCAGATGTAACTCACTTAAAAGAGGTGTGATCACAGGCAAACTGTAGCGCAAATAGGGTTGCGCAACAGAGAGAGAAATGACCAGTCTTTTGATATGCGAGCGAAGCAAGCAAAGGTTAGCAACGTACTTCCCTCGCTTCGGTTCGAAAAATATTTTAACATCAAAATAAAATATCGCCACCTTGAAATGTAGATACCCATTTCCTCACAAGGTTGTACTCTCAGATTTCCAACCTCATATTTAATAATTACTCACGTACAATATATTTATTCCAACTTTTAAGCGCCACTCTTGGCATATCAAACCGTTCTTCGCCTCCATTACCCCTACTTCCGGTTTGCCTGTAGTGTAATCCACGAGGACTTTGCATGCAAACCTAGAAACCTCGGGGTAAATGAGTTTCGAACCCGTGATCAGTTGTAGACTTCTGGTGAACCCAAGGTAAGTAACTCCACAGAGTTTAGGCAAGTGAAAGGGCAAGGCCACCCGTGTACCTAGCGTGAATAAAATACATCCGAAGTTAGAATCGTCCTGTACACGGTCTTCTGAGACTAGCACAGACCCGCACAGATCCGATCTCAATGCCCTGTTGTGGAAAATCAGAACACCCGGGTCAACGGCGATACATCAGGAGTTAAACTGTATTGTTCATTGTTTGTGTTGATTGTAATAATCGAATCTGGATCAGACACACCAGCGACAGCAAACGCGGGTAACAATCCACGCCATTGACAATCCAGGACATGCAATTAGAACAAGCCAAACCGATCACATTTAGAACCTGAATCGACTATTTCCAAGTTCAAATTGATGGTCTGTAAAATTGCCGACAGTGGTATTTCCCCAATCACCCACTCATGTTGAAAAGGCATGCCCATCAGTGCTCTAAAGTCTATTTTTGTTTTTTAACTTATCTTTCTAAATTCCATTTGAATGGACTGACTGACTGACTGAGTTTGGTTTTACGCCGCTTTTTGCAATATTCCAGCAATATCACGGCGGGGGACACCAGAAATGGGCTTCACTCATTGTACCCATGTGGGGATTCGAACCCGGGTCTTCGGCGTGACGAGCCAACGCTTTAACCACTAGACTACCCCACCGCCCCCCATATGAATGGAGCATCAATCCAATCGCTGTAATATAACTTACAACAGTGTATATATATGACATACACGTTGGAGTAGAATTATGACTTTATTTTTAATAACATGAAAAGATGTAATTTTGCAGCGACACATCATATAATTAAATAATATTTTGATATTCATCTGTACATAAACAATGACATATAGACAATGTACACTTACAGGCGATGATTACACAACGTATACACACTGGTCACGAGTAATCAAATATACATCAATGTACATACTTTGGCACCATGGAAATATTGGATAACATTATTGCAATATTGCATTTTGTTTAAGAGATAACAGTTACATCTATTTACATGCAGAACTTACAAGATAGCTTATTACAACATTTGCATTTCGACATTCAGAGCAAATGCTGAAACACGTTCGTTTGTCTTCTTAAACCATAATTAAAACTGCAGAAACGCACTGAAACCAACATAGGATTTTGAACGTTCCTCTTGTAAAACGGCTATTTATATAAGTCTACATCGATCTGGTCATAACAAACTCATATTTCATATTCTTGACTAGTAACACATACTTTCAACTGTAACAGTTTTCACAAAGTGCATTAAGAAATACATTTTATTTTAGGGTGAATAATCCTTTATCATCCAATACTGGTTTCCATAGGACATTGACAAAGACGGCTGTGTTTGCATATCTTCAGCAGGAGTTTTTTATTGGCCGCCCTCACGATATGGTCATTTGCGGCTCACTTCTCATCAAAACAATTTAATTATAAATACATTCTCCACTAGTGTCATTTGATATTAACCATATCAGTACACCGTAACACACTTAATATAATCCTAGCCTGTTCTATATTGGCTGACACATTTGCTATGTGCCTTTAACTATACTTTAAAGCCCATTTACGAAACATCCCAGAAAGAGACTGAAACGGACTTCATACGTAATATCCAAAGGGGAAATCCAACCGTGATGAGCCAGAGCCTTAACCTTTAAGTCACCCCAGCTTCCCTCCCTGACGAGAAAGACAATGGCGGAGACCCAGTATAAAGTTGTTTTCCATGATGACGTGTAACATGACAACACGGGGGACAAGGGTGGACGTAGGGTAACAGGCCTCGGTACCGTTGTACAAGCGATCTTACCACTAAGGTGGTCGTAACCCCCATACCTTCACGTAGACTTGGGACAGTAGACTTCTGTACAACGGCACCCAGGGCCAACTTGCACAAAGTGTTCCTAGAGCTATAACTATCCTATCTATGTCAATATATGGGAGATACCATTGTCTTTAAGCTGAGATCGCTTTGTGCAAGCTGACCCATGTTAGTCACGACTAATCAACTTAACACACCAAGCCGGGAGTCTTCATTGGCAGAATTATACCCACCACAACCACTACATGATGTTCTCATACAAATTCAATTTTGCAATGACTACGAATATTTTGCGTGCAGTTCAATATATGTTTGAGAGAATAGTACCGATAAAATGATTGATTATATGAAATTAAATACATTATAGCTACTTGCTATTTACAATTCAAATACAATTTATGCAAATCAAAGGACAACAAATCAGCACTAACTTAATGCAAAGACTGAACGGCTTAGATTAATCCATTTATGTCAAGGGATCGTTCAAAATGTTCATGACATTGAAGGGTATGGGAAATAATATTTCTCTGCGTTTCGCCTATATGGTGGTTGGTTTGGGGACCAACGAATGACAGAGGAGAAACCTTCTTGTAAGCTGAATGGTTTCCATTCCCAAACACAGAGGCCACGTGTTCACAGTCTGAAACAATATGGCTAATATCGGCCCACACCTCTCAGAAATACTTACACATTGTAAATAAAGCATATGAAAAGATAAGCTCTATAGTCTGCAGTCACATGACTGCCTTCTGAAACAATGTCATGGAAGGGCGTTTTCTCGTCTACTCACAGGCTTGCTAACATATAGTCGGTTTTCATCATATCGAAATACAATATTTCAAAATATATGGTTTTCATAATAATCCTCTAATAGATCAGGTTCTGATGAAGAATTTCTGGATCTTAAGACCTCTTCGCAGTAGCGTAATCTGCCTGGACAGCGGTATAACGAGATATTTTCACTCTGTTCTCGACGTCGACCTATTGTGGCGAGAATATCGCGAAGACGAGTCTGCTTATAGTGGTCATACAACACATGTGGCATTAACGGCAACCACAGCAGCAGCACCATACGTCAGTATTATGGCCTGTGTTACAACCCGTGTACATGTCTTACAGAAGGCACTTACGTACATTCACCATTCACACACAAGCCGCACACAGTACGTGAATACAAACAGGGTTCAACGCGGAGTCTACCAAATATGCCCCTACCGTCATGATTCCATTTAATGCTAGGTAAACGCTGAAAGTGATTTCTTTGCCTACACAAAAGACTAGTTTAATCGTCCTAATTACACCAGGAATTCACATACACAAATCTGCACGGAATGTCCAAACAGACAGAATGCACAAATACGGTATATCTGTCGTTAAAAAACAAAGAACGGGTTTGGGGGCTGTCTGAAGAGTCCTCATATATTGAAACATTTTGTAGTATTTTATATGCTGGCGGCATTAGATTTTAATATTTGTAATATCTATAAAACTGCACTCAGCGGTGGCCTAACAGTCATCGAATCTGGACCAGACAACACAGTCATTGTTTTTCGGAGCAACTATCCACACATTCTGACTACTTTGACGAGGACCGCAAGTTTACGAGGAATCTAAAAGAGTGTTTTTTTGATAGTTAAATTGGGCAATATGTCAGCTATGCGACACGGGATGCGTACAGACACCATGTTAAGGCTGATGTGGCCTACCGGAGTGTGTGAGTGAGTTAGTGAATGAGTTTAGGTTTACGCCGCTTTTAGCAATATATTCAGCAATATCACGGCGGGTGCACCAGAAATACCGTACCCGAATCCAGAAAATGACAAATATGGAAACAGTCTTCAGACAGCCTCCATGTACGCAACAACATGACACGATATATCCATAACCATTCTCACATCACAGAATCTGCATGCACATTTACGTCACAACACGTATGACGTCATAGTACACGTGATGACCAAATATCGAAATTGCACGTGTGACTGCACATGAGTGCATGAATACAATATCACCCGATTCTAAACCATTAACTATTCAAAATGTCTCTTTGGTATAACCGGTCATATTATTATGACCTGTGGCAGTAATAAGCCTAGTATATCCATCACGCGCTGTTTACTGAACAGTAACGCTGGCACTCTTCAAAAGTTTTAAAATTGTTGCTGTTTCCATCACAACCGCCGTAAATGAACCTGTCACACTCCATCGTCTCCATATTGAAATAATACCTCGGAAATGCAGCTCGGCATGTTCCGACAATCTTCGGTAATGTACACCGCTCGTCTAAACCTTCAGGACCAGTCGTAACTGAAAACACAAGCAGTAGTATAAAAGAATTTATCATAAGTTTTCAGTCATAAGAACATGATCACGGCGAAGTTTGTTTACTACACTCAACACAGACAGAGTAAACCTTGACATTCAGACTTAATCAGCTGACTTTTCAGTTGTGAAGCTGTTACGACTCAAAGAATGACCTGTTATTTTGACAGGGTGGCTAGGCAAAACGTCCGCCCGTTAAGCCAGGCCCTGCCAGTTCTCCACATGGATAGAACGTGTTCATTTCTGGTGTCGTTTCCACCATACCATGATGATGTTACTGGAACATGCCTGCAGGTTGCTTATATTCCCACTCACTCACGCTGTTGTTTTGCAACATTACAGCTTTAACCTCAACGGTATATAAGTTACCCTGTGACCGAAAACAGGAGAAACAATCCACCCACTATCAGCTAGGACAGTGTCAGACCACACAGCTGACTCTCACGATAAGCATAGCTACTGCGCGTGGGTACATTTATTACCATGCATCATGCTTACATATAAATATACAACATGGAAAACTGTACACATTGGCTTCCCACATGTCAACAACTCACGTTGTAATTCAGGACATGCATGTCTCACCTTTGGGGTCAGTATAAGGTCCAGATCCGAACTGACCATATTTAGGTTCATAGTCATCGAGGGAGACAGCTTGCTCGGGAATAAATTTGTACTGTAATTCGTTCTCACTCTGCATTCGTTTCCTCGCTGAAACAGAATATTGTATCCACTGGTGTACATTCTCCAAACTCAGTTTTGAACTCTCCACCACATGGTCTACAAAGGTTACACAACAAATGTACGGATATTGGCTTAAATGTTTACAGACGGATTAAGTTTTTTATGGGTCGTCAAATATTACTGCTTGTCCTAGTTATCTAGTTTAAGGCGAGAATCCAGATTCTAATGAATCTCCATAAGATACGTTTTAGGCGGGTTATATCAAAGTTACAGAATATCCAATGAGATAATCGAAATGTTAGTGTGAACGTGGAATGCCTTTATCACACATCTGAGTTTACTTGTTGTTACTCATATAATACAGTTCTAACGTAGTACGTCAGCGATTGAGAAACGTGACGCCATGTGGCTTCAGCCTACCATTCAGCACTGAGAACATGATGCACATGTTCAAATAACGGAAAGATGCTCCATTATCTTCTATCATCATCAGTAATATAGTGCTTACGTTTGCATTCCCATTGTCCTATGGGGTCCCACTGCACGTGTTTATGAAAAGGATCCGGTACAGCCACACACGTGATCACCGACGCACCAACCAAATAGTAGCTTTCATCACATCGCACGTGCACAGTGGCGCCGAGACTGAAGTCAGTGCCGTCAATGAAGCCGTGGTCAGGTGGCTTGGGAGCCTCACATTTCCATGTATCTGAAACGAAATTTACAAATTTAATGCACATATATCAGCTGGACGTACTTTCAGTAAGTTTTACCGGAAACAATCTCACTGGGCATATTCTGATGTTCCGAAACAAAACGTGTATTGTGTCCTGAAAGAGGAACCACAATCTAACTGAACCAATAATCTGTTTCGATCAAAATTCCCGACACAAATTCACTCGCTGAAAATCTATATATCAAGGCCTGCCCCTGAGAAGAGGTGAGTTTCCACGATTGATCCCCAAGATTTACATGAAGGAGGCACAACGTCGCTGTGACTATCTGGTACAAAATCTGAAATAACACCTGGTTTAGACTATTATGTTTAGCAACCAGGTACACGCAGATGCAGGATATAAAGCCTATATGTTGGTAATATTCATTTACATGGGTAAATAGTCAGCCTTGGTTGGTATCACCAATGTACCTTTTTTCAATCAGTGTCCAGACATATAACACATCAACAATGAACACTATAGGCAACTCTGGGGTGCGCCACCGCCCTTCACCGTACATACTGCACTTCAATTGTCCTCCGTTACAACTGCTGATGGCGGCAAGCTCCGCCTGGGAGAGAGAGATGTATGCAGGTTCGAGGGTCATGTCGCTAGCAGGTGTCTGAGTCAATACATAACGACCACCATACGCAAACACCAAGTCGCGATGGGTAAAACCGACGACAAGCGCCACGACTGGAGAAAGTGGCAAATTGTTTTCTGAACTAGCTTGTTAAAATTGACAGCACGTAACTCATTTGGGGGTTTGTTGTTGGAGGGTCCGTAATCCCGTCAGTCTGGATGTATTAGCATGAGCGACGAACAGACGGTGTGACGTCACGCCAAGTTAACGTCAAGGTCACGGCGTGACACAAGTCTGTGCTGCTTGGGGTTAACATGGCCGTGTGAAGTGACCTTTGCGGACTATCTGCACTGTCACCGGTAGGCCATTGCCTGGCCACAGTTGACGACCAACACAGCTGTGTAGAGTCCAGGAGCAGCTACTTTTGTTCTAGTCTCTCCAGCATCCCTTTTGCTACGTAAATGCTCAAAAATTTCAATTCTGACTCAAAACGTAATGATTCAGATTAAACATACATCCCCAACTACCTCGAGACTGACAGCCCTACTATCTCAAAATAACACGATCGATGTTTAAACAGCTATACACAGTAAAATGTTTTCCGTGCTCGTCCAGAATGATGTAAGATTTGGATGGAGTCACCGATGAGACGTGATTTCGCAGACTGTCCCTTCCCTGAAGTGGGTTTAAACAAACTATCATAAACTCCTTATCGGGCGGTTGGGATGACCACTGGTATAAGCGTTCGCTCGCCACACTGGGTCACACTGTCCAACACCCGAATGTGATTCTCCACATGGGTACAATGTGTGAAACTAATTGATGGTGTTCCAGAAGTGATGTTTCAAGGGTGTTTTAAAGCAATGTAAAATCATTCACTCTCAGTCACTCTTCCTCCGTTACGTTAATCACCTGTGTCTGTGTATATCTAAATTTCCTCCATCTGAGACATTCCTGAATATACAGCAATTCCGTCCCCAGCATGGCCCTATCCCAGGACTGGAAATAGCAATGTTCTGTCCTAGGACTCGAACCCTCATACACTGTTAATGGCAATGTTCTGTCCTAGGACTCGAACCCTCATACAATGTAAATAGCAATGTTCTGTCCTAGGACTCGAACCCTCATACACTGTTAATGGCAATGTTCTGTCCTAGGACTCGAACCCTCATACAATGTAAATAGCAATGTTCTGTCCTAGGACTCGAACCCTCATACAATGTAAATAGCAATGTTCTGTCCTAGGTCTCGAACCCTCATACAATGTAAATAGCAATGTTCTGTCCTAGGACTCAAACCCTCACACACTGTTAATAGCAATGTTCTGTCCTAGGACTCGAACCCTCATACAATGTAAATAGCAATGTTCTGTCCTAGGACTCGAACCCTCATACACTGTAAATAGCAATGCTCTGTCCTAGGACTCGAAACCCTCATACACTGTTAATAACAATGCTCTGTCCTAAATGCTCTGTCCTAGGACTCGAACCCTCATACACTGTTAATAACAATGCTCTGTCCCAGGGACTCGAACCCTCATACACTGTTAATAACAATGCTCTGTCCTAGGACTCGAACCCTCATACACTGTTAATAACAATGCTCTGTCCAAGGACTCGAACCCTCATACACTGTTAATAACAATGCTCTGTCCTAGGACTCGAACCCTCATACACTGTTAATAACAATGTTCTGTCCTAGGACTCGAACCCTCATACACTGTTAATAACAATGCTCTGTCCAAGGACTCGAACCCTCATACACTGTTAATAACAATGCTCTGTCCTAGGACTCGAACCCTCATACACTGTTAATAACAATGCTCTGTCCAAGGACTCGAACCCTCATACACTGTAAATAGCAATGCTCTGTCCTAGGACTCGAACCCTCATACACTGTTAATAGCAATGCTCTGTCCTAGGACTCGAACCCTCATACACTGTAAATAGCAATGCTCTGTCCTAGGACTCGAACCCTCATACACTGTAAATAGCAATGCTCTGTCCAAGGACTCGAACCCTCATACACTGTAAATAGCAATGTTCTGTCCTAGGACTCGAACATTCATACACTGTAAATAGCAATGCTCTGTCCTAGGACTCGAACCCTGATACATTGTATTTAGCAGTGCCCTGTCCTAGGACTCAAACATTGTAAATAGCAATGCTCGTCCTAGGATTCCATGCTGCACCTAGCAGTGCAAGTTGTTCCTCTCTCTGTACACGCATGTTTAGACTTGCACAAGTCTCTAGGGGAATAATGAATAATAGAATGAAATTTAATATCCCTCTAACAGGCTGTCCTTAGACTTGCCTCCTTAACGAACAGAATTTCTATACAGGTCTCCATGGGAGCATTCAGTACAGCGTTGAATAACGCATAGAATTCTGAAATTCAACAAAATAATCAGGATTGCACAACTTCCCTCCCGAATTTGAAATAACTATCCAAAACGCTAATAGCATTTGAATGATCCAAAACGAAACATATCAGGCGCCAGTCGACTACATTATACACGTAATACTATGTGGAACGAACAAAAAAAAGTCTTGATACATGACATTTTTCGCACACAGATGCCTTTTGTGATATTTCAACCGATTATTCAACCGTCAGAAAGACAACAGGTGTAAGCATGTGAAACGAATACCAGGTGAAGCGTCGTTATTTTTATATATAAGAAACATTCATCTGTCCGTTGTGAGTAAAGTCGTGAAGCAAACATTATCTCTCAGTGCACTAATTGTATTTCAACTGTTGCAACAATCTGGATTTGAAGCACTTTGATTGGTGGGGCTGTCAGCATGCACGGAATGTGCTGTGTGTACGGAAGTGTCTACCTCCGTCCCTGTCCCCCAAAATAGTGAATCATGTTGCGTTGATGAGGCGCTTGTTTGGTCCGTGTCTCTGATTGTGTTCGTGATGTATTTTGTTTTTGTTCTTCAAAGACTTCCTACAGATCCACGAATAACGCTGTAAACACCTTTTTGTCTCTTTAAAGGGGAAATGTGTCTGCAGTTGACGAGTGTGAAGGAACTTGCACTTTCTCCTGACAAGAGTACACGACGAGCTTTGCCAAACTCAGTCGGTGTGGTTTGAACTTTCAATCGATTTTAATAGGCTTCGAATCAAAATATATGGACGCTGAGTGGGAGCGCCCACTTTAATAATATTATAGCAATACCACGGGGGTTACACCAGAAATCACGTTCACCGTGATGAGCAAACGCAGTGACCACTGTGTTACCGACGCCCCTGTATCCACGTGGTATGACAGCTGCTGTTGTCGACATCATATCTAGTATTTAAAGAAAATTGTTTCTAACTTTCACTGGATGCTTGATGGGCATTTAGAAGTTGGAAGGTAACATAAAACGCATGGTATGGATTTACAACTTCTTTATTAACTTACACTGGCTGTGTGGCAGAGTAACGACGGTCTATACATGTTCACATGACGGTGTTCACCGTGTTTGATCTTTATAATATCAGTGAATGGATGTTTATGCTAATGTAATACTTCATCTCGTGACCGAGAAAGTATGGACGTGGCACGTTTACGTTTACACAACCAGCGAGGCCTTGTACAAATATGTACCAAAACTGAGGTACATATGATTTCTGTTTACATAAACACAATCCATTTACTACTGAGAAACCCCCATAATGGGTTAAAATATCGCACGTTCGTAGTTATATATATACCACTGTGTGAGGTGCATTGTTTGCAATTCATTCATAACAGGCAAACTTTTATCATTCTTTAATGTACCAGGGGCGTATTGAAGGCAGTAAATAAGTATGTCCAACTCGTGGCAGTGTGGTGTACAGTGCTGGAGAGCCAGTGTGTGGTCAGATACCTCGCATTAGAGGCCATTTGTCATCCACTCCAAATGTCAGTAAATCATACACTAAAAAGCATTACATGAAAACCCAAGTACAGCAGCGCGTGGTGGCGGCGTTCATTACCCACACACTTGAGTGTGTGGGACACAGTTGTAATGCGAATCAATAGCCCCGTCACATCGTCGTCATTCATGAGCCAAGAGGTGACAGGATCCTATTGTACTCGCTGATCGGGAGATATGCAAAATAAGGTCCAAATCATATGTTCCCATACTGCGTTATAATGTACACTTTGTATGGAATTCATTTTCAACTGAAAGTATTTCATAAACCTTTCTACCATTGTTATATTAAAGGAAACCTATATGATAAAAGCTTCAAGTGCCTCATAATAACCCCGTGTAAGTACCTTCCTGTTGATTACACTAGACCTAGATAATAGGACAATTAACAAGCAAATGCTACCCCGTGAAGAAAACCACCCTACGGTAAATATCATATCACCGACCACATGGAGAGGATCACCAGGGCCCCGTTCCTCAAAGCGATCGTAACGCTACGACAGTCGTAAGTCTATGTTAAAGTATGGGAGTTACATTCATCTTAGCGCTACGATGGCTTTGAGGAACGGGGCCCAGGGCCTAGATTTTCGAAGCTCTCTTAGCGCTAAGATAGTCGTAAGTTAATGGTAATGTATGGCACTTACGACTATCTTAGCGCTAAGAGAGCCTCGAAAATCTAGGCCCAGTATCTTACGGTGGTCTATAAAATGGAAATAAGTGAGGAGGATTTTACTACGACATTAGTTAGTGACTGAACAAAATTATATATCAAGCGTGGCAGACTTCAATGCTAAAACCAAGCAAAGCATTGTCTGCCTGCACGAACAACCCAAGCATTCGGAGAACGATAATACATAAAGCCACATAGCGTAACTTCTGATATAAACGCTTGTAATTAAGAGTCTGGACCAAGCAAACCAGTGACTGAAATCCTGAACAACAACCCTCACAAGACAGGGATATAAACACTATACCTCGAATATGATTGGGGGCAAGTTATGCCCCTGACCAATAGTCTTTATGTAAACTACCCTCATCGACCGTTTCCCACAGTTGGGCTGTTTGCAGCTCCAAATTTGTGAACACTGAAGTTCACTCATCTGACCGAGTCAGCGCCACAAGTTCCAAGTTTAGGTACAAACAAACTCGAGGATTGGGTCACTTCTATCAGGGGTGATTGGGTGGCCTAGTGGTAACAGCGTTCGCTCGTCACGCCGACGAGCCGGGTTCTTTTCCCCAAACGGGTATCAAGCTTGGTGTCATGTGGTGTTACAGATATACCGCATTAAAGGAGAAGTAAGATGGCCAGTATATTCCTGGATGTCTCACAGCAGATTCTGAGACTAAGGTGACATATATCGATTAAATAAGACGAAAACATGTGCGTGACATTTGATAATGAATTTTTGTGCAACTTGTCGACGCATAATGTCAAATCTCCGACAAGAAACATGACGAATTAAAACACAGAGTCTTCAAATCAAATCGAATCGCTAACCCAACAAATGTCCATACCCATTTCAAATATGCCAAGTAGGCAAAATTCACAAAGTAAATACGAGTGGTAGGAGGCAGCATAACCAAACAGAGACTACTGGTAGTAATGGGCTTGTCAACACGTATACCTAAGCGTAATAAACACGGCCGTGTCTGACTTACGTATTGGCGTCGGAGAAGCCACACACACCATCAACAAGGCACACATATAGGTAATGTTCCGCATGGTTCTCTTCTATCAGATCTCAGTGTGGGTCACGATTTCACAACTCTTTTCCAGATGGCCTGCTGAGATTGCGTTCCCTCGTCTTAGTTCAGAAATTTCACCTCTTTTTAATGGAATATCTGTTACGACACGCACAGATTAAAGGTATTTTTGCTTCCACGAATTGAACTTGTATCTTTCTGCTGAAATAGTTCTAGTTCGTACAGTATGGGTTTAGCAGCACTGTATACGAGACTGATTGTGGATGATGCTGATCTGTCAATGGCAGGGCTGTCCACCGTAAGAGGCGGAGAAGATTGGTAGGGACAGCGACGGGTTGCAATGGTCCCACCAGTTGTTCACTTTAACGTGGAATGGGCGTGTATAGATAGTGATACCGCAATGCTTTATCTGCATTCAGATAATAATATGAGAAACTGCAGCTTGATCCCACCACGTGACATCAGCCGACCAGACTATGATAAACTCATATTTAGTCACCTAGGATTTCTCAATAACCGTCAACATGTGGCCCAATCTAGGTATGCAAGCACCACGATAACACCATTGGTTCATCTGTGCCGATTTCAAGACATCATTGTCATCAAGACACATGAACTTAGCAAATTGTATTTGTATAATTGATATTTAATCTCTTCGGAAACTGCGGGCAGTTATGGCATATCAAATAGTCGGCAACATACAAGCTGGAAACTGTACAGTACGCTGAGTGAATCCCATGCACTCGTTCAACAGCCCAAACATCTGGGATAGAGTGTCCCCAGCCTCATGATCGTATAGGAAGCGAATAGATAAGGCAGCGATGATGTTAGTCCATGCATGGGTTTCTTGCGTGTCATTATTCAGTATTCATGGTATTTTACGCGGATGGACAGTTATTCAGAGTAAAGATCAGTGGATCGTCTGCAATGTCGACACTCGAATTCCTTGCAGGTTTTCGTCATGTAGCTGGAATATTTGTGTGCAGTGATAAATAACAAACAAACCTGCACATAACGTGTGTATATCGCACATACTAAGCTGCATGTGAGACGGGGTGGCAAGGCAAAGTCGGTTGATAACATGGGCGAATATGAACAATATCACAGCTAACTTTCGACTCGGTGAATATCACAACTGAACGCAAGGCTTCATATTCAACAGATTACAACGTTCTCCAGTTGTGTAGCATATTACCTCGACGCATTATGTTCGTGTATTCTTTAAAATGTTGATGTTTTCTACATAATACATTAAGTAAGATTTACGTTTGAATGTCGGTCAGTTTAATGGTGCATACATGATCTGTCTATTCATTTTGAATGAACGACCACTCCTTGGGTTTTGACTTAACGTGAAGTTGGTTTGACTTTATCTGGTCAGGTGACCCACTCAATACCAGTGCAAACCTGAGGCCCATACTTTAATCTATAAGGCCAGGGGGGCATATTGCTGAAAAATTAAGGATCTTTATTTGTGTTCACGGATCAGTGATTAGGACCCCTAAGCAATGCATTTATCATTAAAACACATCATGTAGAGTGGGTATCGCCGGAGATGTTTACTCATCACTGGGCACAAACCTATGTACTAAATGTGTGAAGTAGGTTGTAAGGAACAGATGGATCTATGACTTCATGATAAAATCATGTGCTTCAGTATGAAAGTATACTGTTCTTTGTTGTGATTGAAAATACAATCCTGACACATGTTTGAAACCTATGTGCAGGTGCACAAATTAATACTGTAACCTAATATGCAGGTGTGTAATACAGCGTTCCTATTTACCTTCACTATATTATCACTCTACGGTGGTATGCGCTGCTCGTAAGGATGTGCTGGTTTTAAAAGACTTGAATAAAGCGCTTCGTTGACTTGATTCATTTCATTGACAGATTTGGAAAACAGGTTTTACTGAGTATATAACCATCAGCAATACAGCATGCTATTGATCGTCGCTTAGCTTATAGAGTTTTTAACTATCGGTCAAAACAGCGTGCTTCAATCAGGATTTCTTTACTGATAATCACTTTATACAGTTTCGGGTCAGATTAAGGGTCAACAACCCAGCGAAATGATGAACCCGACACGTCATCGGCATTGTCCTGTGGCGGATTCCGACGACGGTGTACAATATCCATCCAGTCTGCACCGAGTAAACAAAGAGGTAGCTGATATACCTCTGCCCTGATTAAACCTACATACCCAGCCCTGTAATATTCATGGGATAGCTAGTCGTACATGGGAACTCGTATTATGAATAGCGATGCGGTATTTAGGGTAGGAAGGTGTGGCAAATTGAGCCCTTCTGACACGGGTTGGGTAATATCCGTTTGCTCTAAGGGTAATGCTGGTATGTGGCTTACCTCGCCGGCGTTGACACCACCCTCTGCCCATGTCACGTCGCGGGCGTACACCGTGCGATATGTATGTACCTGCGCCTAGCTTATGGTTAGCCACAGGTTAGCTCAGCACCTGCGACACTATATAGACGAGGGAAACTTGCAAGTAAAAGTTGGACGAAATAACTTGGCCAGAAAAGACAAAAAATGTTTTCCAACCACTAAAATCTAAAAGAGGGGATAAACAGTTCTAATTCCAGGATTTCAACAAATGCAAAATCATTTAAAGCTTTCACGAACCAGCTTATCAACAAAACATAAACGGTTAGGTTATGAAACAAGCAGAGAGCCGCAGACGTAACTATTGACTACATGAGTATTCAAATTCAACAGAAGTCCCATGCCAGAGTTAACAATGATACATCTTTACATCTTCGTGCTTTTACGGGACAATTTTTTATATATCCTGATAATAACACTAACATATGATGTAACGATAGCTTAGATATGTTTTTTTAACCCACCGCATGACCAATGAATATATTCATGGGGAAAATACTCATTAAAGGAATTAGAGTGACACAATAAGTAACCATATATACAGTCATGGTTATCAGATATTTCAATGTATCAGTCCGTGCGTGGAGGTGTCTCCTGCAGCCCGGCGGCGTTGGCTGATATTATTACCGCTACTCCACAGCAGTACACAGTCAGTGCCGGCACCCCCATCACCGCCATCCCGTTCCTCCACGGCCCACGACAACACTATCGCAATCTTACAGATTAGGCGGCCAGTCTACTGTTACATATCATTTATTCGATTAGTGTTTAATCTTCCGCTGATATCAAAGTATATTTTGCTGTGACTTACATATTCAAAATTACACAATCACGATCTGTTTGTTCTGAAACTTGTAAAAACATTGAAAGGATTACATTACATGAACCACTTGTTAGAAATAAGCAGTGAATGATTTGTGTTTAATCATGGTGTCTATCTGTATACACTGAAGTAACGTTATTGTTAAAGTGTTTATATTCAGGTTTCACTATTCTTCATTCAACTGATCCGTTAATCTGTAAATCTCTAATTCAAAATGGTATTTTCAACAATATTCAACAATTAATTACACAGCGTTTACACAATCACATATGGATCAGACAATCCAGTGATTGATATTCTGAGCAATATCGTTTTACGATGACATCACACTTGATCATCCAAACCCGTTCAGGAGCAAGCATACATGTAGTCTGTCGGATCCCAATTCCCGTTGGTATTTTGCAGATCGTATGCAATAAAGAAATATATTCTTTCTAAGGCTGAACACAAAATGTAATGACGACACCCAAGCGAAAAAACGACATACCCTTAATATCTTAAATTGTGAAAGGTCGAGGCCCCTGTCAATATCCCGTGACCGACATGGCCAACACAATATTATCCTTTAACATAAACACATCTGTATTATTCTGGTGATTCACACTTAGACACTGCGCAAAACGAAACCTACATCATATTCTGCAACGCTCCACCAGTATCAAACCATATACATTTTAGACCGAAAGGAGAGAATATCATTGAGTTGCCACAGAAGGTCAAAAGCAAGAAAAAAGGATTCCAGAAATACTCAAATAACATAAAATACTGAAAGGACAATCTGCAAAATACAAGGTTCCATTTGACTCACTTTATATACACATAGAAGTTCTGAAGGAAGTCATTCATTTTATACGAGTAATCCATATGAAATTCCTGTTCACAATTTTAATAATAATCGTTCACCTGTCATAATTGTGCAGCCATGTACCCAGTTCGACCATTCAATGAAGTGGTATTACCTTGTGCTTCATATATTCAGAAACACGTGTACATACTGCTTGAGCTCATTTTGACGACTGAAATTTAATTTAAAGCCGTTCCTTGATATGAATACCATGGCCCCCACCTCGCATTGCTCATTCTGTTATTCACACTATTAAAATCCAACTTCTAATTCAAGCCCTTTTTCTCCCGCAAGGCGAATGTTTGTTTAAAATCTCCTCACACCGTCTTACGTGTTTTTCAACAGCAAAAATAAAACCAAAATATTTGCATAACCTCTTAAAAGCAGGATAAGATTTTTTTTTCATCCCGTGTTTGTTAGTTAAGTATTCTTATCAAATCCGGCGAGAAACCACTTAAAGGACATATGCTCTCAGACATTCTTCATTCTTAAACAGTGTTATATAGTCATGGCCACAGTCAGATATATCACGCCGCTATGGAAGGGCTGACGGGAAACACGTCGACAGCTAACGACGTACAGTCAACTACTTAGTTCCTGTACATACACATAATGAATGTACACATCCTATGTTTCTGTTGAAATAAACACACTGATCACACCAGACTGACTTGTTCAGTGACATGTAGAATGACATTTGGACGACCTTACGACACTTAATATGGCGTACTGTATTCAACATAAACCGCATTTCCTCGTTGAAAGGTCCGGGAATATATTTGTTGACAGTATTTATCCCGGTGTTAAAGCGCAAACATAATAAAGGTGAGAATCCATAAAAACTACAGATTTTAACTGATTTGTGCCGTCTATTTGAGGCACAGGCTTTAATCAAAGAAACACCGTAATTAACCCCGTATCGCTTGCACGGTCTCTAGAATGACTAGTCCAAGACATAGATATTTAACCGTTTTTTCATATTTATTCAAAAATACAAAATTCTTTGAAAAATATAATAATGGAGCCCAGAACAACCCTAAGGCAATCTACCCTTGCCAATCTATTCCAAACTTGACTTGGACTCCTATTGAAAATATTCTCTGAGGTCTGGAAGATAGACTTCTAGGTATTTTTCGTACTCAGTTGGTATTCGATGTTATTCGTGGTGTAAAATGTACCTATGATTTCTGTTACTTTCAAACATTAATCGTCGTTCATAAGTGTCGTTGTTCTATGTATGTTTCTAAAAAATAGAAACCATAATTTGTATCCATTAACGAAGTACATATGTCACGCATCAAGCGACTAGGGTAAGGTGC